GAAACTTTTGTTGATTGCTTTAAGATTTTCATTTTTAAAAACTGTTATTTTATAATGCAAACGGGAAAGCTGCTTTTTCTAATGCGATGCTACAACGATCGCTGTGTCCTCTCTAACCATCTGATGTAGGCCGAAATCTGAGAAAAAAAAATTACCGACTGTCTTAGCAACATCAGGTGCGTACCTATTGGGGGATTTGTGGGGGTAATTACCATCCCCTGCTTTCAGAAAAGTTTCTGTTTTGTGTCTTTCGCTCTTCAAAATACCATCTTTTTTGGAAGAATGAAAAATGTTTTTTGATAGGACCACCCTCCTGCTGTAAGATGCTAGGTACGCCCCTGATGAACACCAATCTACTCATCCAGATTGCTATAAATTCTTTTGTCAAGTAGTTTTGCTCAGTATTACAGAATGCATGGTTTATTGCATAACACATCGACGCGATTTTATTTTGACTGCATAACAGCTAACTTTGGTCAAATTATTTTATAAATATCTCATGCGATACAAATGAAAAGCTGACCATAAGTCTTTAGTTTAATCATAGTGATGAAAACTTTCATTTTTCAATCTTTGCAATTTTTCAGTTAGGTAACAGTAGCACCCGAAGAAAGCGATGAAAGTGATCAGGTCTCGACCTTTCTCTCAACCCCAAAAGGTTACCGTTGAAGTCGCGTTGACTCTTAACATTGCAGTAGCCTGTTGCTTTCTTTGAATCTTTTCCTTAATCATATACTGTTGAACGTGATGCGGAAGACTAGGATTCAAGCTCAGTGCATAAGACAAGATTATCTTGGAAAAGTCAGCAAAATCACAATCACTTTGATGAACATTATGTCATCTCAAACGTAGCTATTGCCATCTTGTTGAACCATCGACAATGGAAAAAACTTCAGGATTCCATTGGTGATATTCGTGTCCTACCGTGGCCTCTGAAACCTATTTGACTTCGTATCTGGACAAAATGAGTCAATCACGTGCCGATTTCGACCTGATTGATCAAATAAACAGAATGTGACCTTGTGACCGAAAGGTCATTTGAGAATAGTACCATAATCACCTCGCAGGAGCACGAGAAAGAGCGACATATGCGTGTAACGAGCATTACCATCATCATGAAGATATAGCTGTGCTTGCATCTTGTATCCAGCTGATGATGAGTAGAAAGGAGGCGAGTAAATGGATATTTGTATTTTAAATTGACATCTGCTATTTTATCCGAAACGTCGCTCACTTTCCAAGTGAGGGTACCAGCGATCAAAACGAATTCAATTTAATCCACCGTTTCCTCTATGCTTGACAAATCTTGTTGTAAGATTCATCCTCAGCCAACAATAATCTATTCTGGGTTCTAAGTTCTCCGATGACTGACAATAAAGCTGTCTGATGTTGCTCAGTTAGTAAGCAAGTGCCAAATTCACTTCGAGTAATCTACATATCCAGATAAATGACAAATTTTTCACATCTCTGGTGCAGAATCTTCAGTCAAGAAGCTTCTGCTATACTTTGAAGTATTTCTGAGATAAGACAAAAGATAGATTCATCACTGTATTATGGAAAAATGGCAAAGCGGTAAATTTTGCAAGAAATATCGAAATTGTGATATCTGGCTACGTGATTTGTGCATCGACGCATTAATGGATTAGCACAAGATGAAGAAAGATAATTCTAATTATAGGGGCTGTCGATCAATGGTGTGCTTAAATAAAAGTGGCTAATGTGTTTCAGTTATTCAAACTACAAAGTCAACTGATGGAATGTGAAATCATTCAACAAANATTATGGAAAAATGGCAAAGCGGTAAATTTTGCAAGAAATATCGAAATTGTGATATCTGGCTACGTGATTTGTGCATCGACGCATTAATGGATTAGCACAAGATGAAGAAAGATAATTCTAATTATAATGCACGTTTCGATCTGAAACAATTTTTTCTATTTCTTTCTGTCGACATGGAAATATTTGATTATATCTTTGAATCGAAAAATGCAATATAACGCCAATTCGCAAAATGCCCCTTTTAGTTAGACATAACTGCCAACGGTAATGGTCTCAATAATTCCTGCTTATCTCGTTCATTCGCAATGAGAAAACTTTTCGTACATTCTAACGGATCATTCGCAAGCATGAAATTGCATAACAAATAAGCTAGCTGCTCTTGCTGAAGAAGCACCTGCTTCTGCACTGACTGCAGCTAGGTAAATTTAATTAATTTGGCGGATGTAGCTAGCTGCGACGGGAAAATCCCATTTTATTTCGGACACTTTACTCTATATATACTGCTAAGATCTCTTTTCTGTCTTATTTCCTTACTATACAGCAAGCAAAACACTTTGTTTTTTGGTTCGTTTGCCCTTCTTTTCTTAGTGATTCCTGCATGTTCTTTTTTCTTAATTAACATTTTTCTTCTTTTAAGGGGAGGCGGACGAAAACCTTTTTTGCTTTTTGTGCATTATTTTATCTGCTCTATCAATCTGCAGTCTTAGTTTTGCCTAATCTTTTTTAGTTTCTATGAAAACTTCGATGGAATTTATGGTCCTAGAAAAGTTCAAAAATCGTGTCCCACCCCATTTTGAGTCTACTGCACAGCCAATAATCACTTTAAGTCAAATGTTTTTCTATGAAAAAGTCCAGTAAAGTAGGTACTATAGATTGTTCAAAACCACAGGTTAGTAGCTTCTTTCATTTTTGAGTAATTGACATTTTACTGACGTCCAGTGGAGTGTGACATACAATTTGTTCAATCTCCTTCTGACTTCTCCTGACCGAACTACATGGAATAAATTACTCGTTTTTTTACCATATATGTCAAATGGGTAGCACAAGTTATGCTGTAAATACCAAGGCATCAGCTTATCTCTAAAGGAAGAAATTTGAAAAATACATCAAAATGTCGCACCCATAACTTTTGTCTCACCTACAAACATATCTCTAGAATTGTAATTGCTAGCACATAAAGGCTCAAATTTTACGATTATGCGTATTTTGACACCCTGAATCGAATGACCGGCTCAGTTTTCTGAAAACCGGCTTGGTAAAGGATTTCCAGAAAACCTGGATTTCTAGAGGCCCAAGCTTAGAAATTGTCAGAAACCATTTTGTAAGGATGCCAGTTGATAGAGCATATGTGAAAACCTATGCTTCAATACATTTTTAAGCTCAGTTATGCTTTTTTAGCTGAAAAGCAGAGAAAAGCGCATTTTCGATCCGGAGTGAGAAAGTGAACATCCAGGATTTTAGCTGAGAAGGACTTGATGGTTTGGAAACAGAGTTTTTTCCAGACTTTCAAGTACCCTCTATAAATCTGCAGTGACAAAATATCTTTCTGGATACTTTCATTTTGGATTATTTTTTTCTTTAAAAATGGTACAAAAATCACCAGAATCACTCATATATATATATATATAGAATTAAAAAACTGAAGGAATGAAAAAAACGAAAAAGAAGTTTCTGTGGAGATTCGAACCCTGCGCTGAACAGAAAGTCTGGACATATTGAGCACCTCTTAGTTCTAGAAGGGAATCAACGAGTCACTGAGCTGTTCATTTTCGAAATACAACTCAAAATAAAATCTTGGCTTTTCCAAAATTTCGCGAAGAAATATTTTTTGAATTGAATTCGCTTTTCAAGTGAAAAATGTAGGTTTATTAAATAATAAACTTGCATTTTTAATATAGAAAATTTGAATGATCTTTGTGAGATCTGTTTTTGTTAGTGTGAAGAGCAGAATGGATATCGATCAGTATTTTAAAAAACACCAAAAATTGACAGGTAAATGATATAAAGAAAAGAAACTGGATGTGGAATAATTAATAGTTGATACGCACTGGATTCACTAAAACAAAAGCAAAGACATCAATAAATGACATCATTAATCTCAACATCAAGAACAGGAACGGAAACAAAAACTATGTATTAAGAATTATTATATTTATATTTATTAATATATTTATTAAGAATTCATAATCCTCATTTCATAATACTCCTTGTTAGAATTAACATCAACAAACATGAAATGCAATTTATAGAAAGGATGATTACTCAGTCTGTGACCAATGTTGTCAATGACAAAAGCCTTCGTTATATGGAAATCACAACGGTCTGAATATTAAAATAAATGAATGATAATTTGAAGTAATGAATCATAGTTTCATCGGTTAATGAATCGAGCTTAAATGAACAATCTGGTGTAGCAGCTTTTCTATTAATTATACTACAGATTTTTGGGATATCGATATCCAAAAGAAGAACAGAAGGCATATGAATTTGCTTTGAAAGCCGAAACCTTTCTATCCTTTCGATGTCTTTTAGTGCAATAGCTAACAAAGTAGAAAAATAACTAAACTGATATCGATATAAATGCAGAATAGTACAAATTATTTGTGTAAAGGTATTTCTGTTTTCTCTTATTCTTTTAAAATATACACGTGCTTATACCTTAAAAATATTCTAAATTGAAATAATAAGGAGTCAGAAAACGTTGTCCATATTAATCGAATTATACAAGCTTTGTTTCGACAGTGTCCCTTTGATGCGTGTTTATTTCTAGCCGGTTCTCTTTATATCATTTAAAGCCAAACTTCTTTCTCTAATAGTGAACAGCCCACTTCTAAGGTTACGTTTTTATCTGCTTTCATTTCGGACTTATAGCACTAAAAACATCAAAAATAGTTCGCCACTTATCGAGCAAAATTCAGCTTTTTATAAAGCAGAGCTGATGATGAAGCAAACTTTACACTAAACAACGTTGAGCAATATTTAACTCTTTTTGTGTGCTGCCATAATCTCAAAGAAAGCAAGAGAAAAACAGTCATTTTGCTTCACAAAAATACATCCGTCACACACACGTTCTCTGAAACGGAAAGTATTTACAAAACAATAGAGAAACATTCTAACTCAAACACCAACAAGAAAATTCACGAACTCCCATTATGAGTATAGAAAGGCATAAAACATTAGTAAGAGCATGTTGATGATTACCAAGGAACTTCGCTACTAATATGTCAAATTCACCGCAAGACGCATTGATTTGTCCAATTACGTATGAAATATTTCGTAATCCTGTTGTAGCTGAAGATGGTCACACGTATGAGAAAGAAGCAATAGTCGACTGGATTAATAAAGATGGTACCAGCCCTATTACACGAGAGCGATTAACGGTTGATGGATTAAGGCCAAACTATACGGTAAAAAAATTAGTCGATGAATTTGAAAAAAGCCTCCAGAAAAAAAATTACCAGTTTCGATTAGGCGTAGATGTGAAAAAATCTCGCAAAGCGTTGTTCCAAACGTTTGGAAAATCTATTTTCGAGGCCGAGTGGTTAACAAAAGACAACAAAGGTCCTAGAATCGTTCTGATGAAGATTGATGGTGCCCGAGCAAAAAAAGAAGCGTCATTCTATGTTGATCTAAGTCGGCACCCACATATCGTCCGAACATTTGGTTTAGTTGACGACAATTTTCAAGATAACAATAATAAACCGACTAACTCTGTTATGTTACTTCAAGAGTACGCGCCCGAAGGTAGTCTATACGAATTACTTCAAGAACTGAATACTGTGCCAAACGAGCAAATCCTCCTTCAAATGTTTATACAAACTACAGACGCTATGGTCTTTTTGGTGCACAATGGTATTATTCACGGTGATTTGGCGTGCAGAAATATACTCGTATTCCGTTTCGACGAGCAAGAACCAAGACAGAATCTTGTCAAAATAACAGATTTTGGTCTTAGCCGTCATAGTTCGATATATGCGACAGCAAATAGTGTCGCAAGGACAACTCTTAACATTGTACCTACCAGATATGCAGCACCAGAGATTCTTAATAACAATGGGAAGTCGAGTTCTTATACAGAAAAATCCGACGTTTATTCAATGGGTATTACAATGTGGGAAGCTTATAGCAAAGGTACAATTCCCTGGTCTCAAATTGACAATGATGAAGAAGTTCGTCGCATGGTTGTCAATGGGGAAATACTCTCTCAACCAGCAAATTGTCAGGATGAAAAGTGGAAAATCATAACTACATCTTTGTCCAAAAAACCCGAAGATCGTCCTTCTTTTGCGGACTTAAAAACCTTATTGATGGAGTCACAACTCGATTCGCAGGTAGAAATCTACTGTTTCTATATTAATTAGTACTGAAACGCACATACTCCTTAGATTGCTAATCTACAAAATGTAGTGAATAGGCAAACTTACCAGAAATCAAACCAATACGAAGGTGATTATACGAACACATTTGACTTTTTGTATTTAAATCAATTTAATTATGGTTCGTTAATGTAGAGATTACAACGATACCATGTGAATTATGTGGTGAATTAATCGAATTTAACGAATTTCAAGCTCACATGGTATTGAATTTAAAACTGTTGCATATATAGTACCACATTTTCACACTATCTTTGAAATATTCGTCTTAGTACCTATCTAATCTTGTCCTACCAAATGATTTAGCGAAAAAAAATCCATTGAACCTCTATAAATCCTACAATGAATTCTAAGACCAACTGTTCTTTTATCTTGTCCTCCAACTCAACTCAACTTATGCCAGGAAAAATCGAAAAATCGAGGGATCATATGGCGTAACCTTTTCTGAGCGGCACTCTAGTCAGCAATGATCTTAACTACCATCCCTCGGTTTACTTACTCCCCATCGAGAAAGCAAATGTGAGTTTGTACTGCAATGACATTTCTATCTTTTAGCAACCGTGCGCCGAAATGGAAAAAAGACGATTGCAGCGAAAAGCACCGTACGTAATACAAGACGAAACATGATTTCCTTTAGCGTTGCACTCCATCTTACCCTAACAATTAGTATTCCCTGAGAATATTTACACATACCACGTTACAGCACAGTCTCCATGAGAATTCTGATATTAGGTAAGCAACACTTTTACGAGCTGACCTAATTACTTTGCAATGAACTGTCATCACACGTGGTCCGAAATAAATCGAACATCTACGGTCACTTAGCATTTATCTCACATCCCAGTTGCCTTTTATCACCTAAGCTTCATTACTTTTCAAAATATGCGCAGTGAATCCTGTACAAAACATTTTTTCAATATCTTGTATGTACACCCAAAAACGCCTTGTTGTATACCCAAAAAATAACAGAATACTGATTCATCACCGCGAAGATTCCGTCTCCATGACATTGCCACTCACAAAACAGCTTTCTCCGTCTTAGTCCATTGCATTTTGCGAAACAAACAAAGACCTATCAAACAAGCGATGAGAATAGCTCCATTAGTATACTCGACTCACGGCACATCAAGACGCATAGAGACCACACTTCAACATCGAAGACTCCGAGCAATCAGCAACGGCAGAATTCCCCAATGATTTCTTCAGAAAGCCATGACAATAGCTCCATTAGTGTACTCGACTCACAGTACATGGACAACGATACAGGCATCAGTTCAAGATCGAAGTATCCGAGCAATCAGCAACAGCGGAATTCTGCACAGATTTCTTCAGAGCGCAATGACAATAGCTCCATTAGTGTACTCGACTCACAGTACATGGACAACGATACAGGCATCACTTCAAGATCGAAGTATCCGAGCAATCAGCAACAGC